GGAGTTTTTATTTCCGAAGTGGTAAAGGGAGGCATCGCTGAATCGGACGCTCGACCGCACCTTATGGTTGGCGACCAGATATTAGAGGTTTGATATATTGAACGCAATCTTATCTGAAAATCATAATGAGATCACAAATTGTTAACTCAATATCAGGTAAATGGCGAAGATTTAAGAGACGCCCCTCAGTCTCACGCGGCAGCTATTCTTAAGGTATGTTAACTATTGTGTACTCTTTTGGTAAAATTGTTGACTAATCATCGATTTATATGAAGACAACGTCTGGAAAAATCAACCTAAAAGTTGGTCGCCTGAAGGCCGGCTCAAGACATAGCAACTCAGAAAACCTGTCGACTTCAAAGTCAGATGAAATGTCGACCGACGAGTAAGTGTCTAACCCTTCAAAGTCTGTCTTTTCAGTGACTTTATTTCAAATACTTTTATCATTTCCTGCTCTCAGACGCTATTAGACGTCAATGAGGTTAGAATTGAAACTTTCTTTGACTATTAATTTTATGAATTTCTTTTTCAAATACAATATTTCAACGAAAAAATATCTAAATTAATGATTTATTTGATGCAAATACAGGCCTTTACAGCAGAAGGTAATAGTATTGGAGCGCAGATCAGAGGGATTAGGGTTCAGTATAGTCGGCGGTTACGGCAGTCCTCACGGAAATCTACCGATTTGTGTGAAGAATGTGTTCGAGAGGGGGGCCGCCGCTCAAGACGGACAACTCAAAAGGGGCGACATTTTGCTATCCTTTAGCGTATCCACTGATGACCAAAACTGGTCGACCACTGAATTGGATGGTCTCACACACGAAGAAGCTGTTGAAGTGTTGAAAGCGATCACTGGAACCGTTAAACTCACTGTTTTGACGAATTGAGAGTTCATTAAGTTTTTGCGTAAAATGGGAAATTAGGAAAGCATTTAAAAAGCATATAAAACTTATGCCTCTTTGCCTTAAAGTTTAGGTCATATCTTCAATCAATTAATTCAAAAATCATTAAATAATTCATTAATTATGGAGAAAAACCATATATTTATTAAAAGAAATAAAGCCTTAAATAAGACCATTTAGGTCTGAGTTTACAGTTATTGTTATCAATAATATAATTAATAATAAATGGGACCTAAAACTGAATTTGTTTTGTTTAAAAAATAAATTAATAAATAATTGAAAGTAAAATTAAAATCAAACTAATTATAATCGTTTACAATAAAATAAAAGCAATTGTTATTTAAATAAAGTATTATTTAATCTAAAATAATATGAATTTTTTCTTTAGTCAACTATGGATTGCAAAATCACAACAAAATTGTGTAAAATGTATGCAATTCTTGGCACAAAAATCATATTTTATATTCAAACTGTGTTTTATATATCTGTAAAAAATGAACAAATTTTAATCTACTTTTTGTCGTTTAGGTTTTTATTGAATTTATAGAAAGTTTTTAAAAATGTGAAATTCATTCCCAATATTATTCTAGATCTAAAATCAGTTAAGAATATTATTCCATGTGATTCTGACATTTCATTATAATTTTATAGAATTTATCATCAATTTTATCATCAATTTTATCATCAATTCTATCATCAATTCTATCATCATTTCTATGATCACAAAATGTTTAAGTTTTAGATTATGATGTTTTTATCATAAATCAGACATTGAATACTGGAATAAAGTTTAGAGAAAACAGCATAATATTAATGCATTGATAAAGAATATAATGGTTTGAAATAAATTGATGTTTTATTATCTGTTTGTTGCAAATATTGCCAATATATTTGTTTATTTTGGGTAATATTTAATCAATGCTTTTATATGCAAATTATAATTCATGACTTTAAAAATATCAATTCTATTCATAATTTTAAAGTACCACAAAATAAAATGCAATATCATTTAAGATTACGTTATGTGAATATTATGTTAATTAATGAATTATTTCTATTCCCAATATTTTGATCAAAATTTCCCAAATCATAGTTTCGTGTCTAATATATTGTAATTGAGGTCAAAAACATTTTGAACGCTTAAATACTATGATATTCATTACTGTATTTGAAGCACAGTTGATATTATTTTTGTTAAACTTATGATTTACTACATTATGTGTCGACAAGACATTTATTTTCCTGTGTATTAACCGATTTAATGCTATTTTTTATTTAATTATTTAATTAAAAAGCATTTCTGTCGACAACTATATGTTCATTAATAGACTTAAGTTAACCTTGAATTATCACAGATGAGCAAGATACATAATTTAAAACACAAATATTCTCATTTGTCTCACTTCTAATCACTTCTAGACATTTAAACGTGACTTTAAATGAAAGTAATATTGCGTTCAATGCCTTTAATGCCTTTATAGAAATTTTAATCATTTATTTCTAAAATCCATTTGGCGATTGTTCTTATTAGTTCGAAAATATTGCATGCATCCTTAAATTTGCTATAAATGACTGTTAACATCCCAAATGGTCATTCCATAGTTATTTATTAAAAATTATTTTAACACTTATAAAGAATTGTGACTCAAATCATAACTTCTAAACATATTTTTCAATTATATTAAACAAAATTTTCTGATTTAGGAAAACATTTCCTTAAAATAAGTTGTGAATCAGGAATTGCCATATAATCTGTCATTTCGTCAATTATTGTTGTTTTATTATTTATATATTCATTATTTGGATAAATGTTGAAACCATTAATGAAATACATGATGAAATGGTAATTCAATTATCTTAACACTGATGACGACAATTTATATTTTCCGTTTTAACAAGAAATATGAATTTAATTTATATTAATATAAAAATGTCGACCGATTTTAAAACAAGTACATTGTTTTCAATGCTTATCGCAATTTAAAATTTATTATTGAAATTAATTGAATGCGTAAATTATTGTGAATAAATAAATTTATCAATAATAAGAATAATTGTAATTAATTATATTATAAATTTAATGGAAAAATAAAATTTTATTTTTATATTTATTTGTAATGATTGGCATAATTGAAAAATAAAATTGTTGAGATTTTAACGACTTACTTATAAATAACAATAGATTTAATTGAAATATTAAATTCAAAATTATCATCAATTTATAAAAATATCCGTAAATATATTATCCGAAAATAACAGAATAACACTAAAAGTTTCTAACGTAAAAACTACCCCTTTATAGTGAACAATATTTTCACTCAATTTGCACTCAACTATCAATTAACATGAGATTAGATTTATAAATATATAACTTAAAAACATGTAAATTATCACTAAA